TATATATATATATATATTATCATAACTTGCGTGCATAAAAATGAGAAAAACAATATCTATCCAGTAAATTTATTAAATTTTACCATAATTAATTATATCAATAAAAACTTTTCTTCTTATTATTGATTGAGAATGTAATATTTATTTTACTTATGTACGACCATCAAAATAAACGAATAATTAAATAGATAAAATATGAGTACTCACTTATTTTTCAACAAAGTAATATTAATTCAGAATAGGTGGACGGCAGTATCATGCATGTGATCAACTACCAAACTTTTGGTCCTGAGGATAACCTGAGCCATAATTGAGCCAGCTAGCTGTTCAGCACTTCACCAAGAAGGACGAGACCGCTAACAGAATTGAAATCTAAAACAAGAAGATATCATTATTAGCACATATGGTAAAATTTATATCAATCTACGCGCATCATAACAGTACTTTTTCATCGCATCATCTTTCGACAAACTTTTCTAAAAATAATTCATCTGATTATCCCAAAAGTCAATTCTTTACAATTTGCTTAGTTTTTACTTTTTTTTAAAATCATTTTCCTCCCTTAACAAAATGTTGAGATTTAAATGAAATTTACAATCTATAATACTGTAAGTTGTAGAATATTATAATTATTTTAAATTATTTTGTATTGTTAAGTTGAACAATTATTCAGTATTGAGAGATTCTAAGATTGAGAAGATCTTTTAGAAAGTTATAAGACTTTTTTTTATGAAGAGAAAGTTATAAGACATAAAAGTTGTTAGAGATTTTTTCTTTGTTATCTCATTTATTTTTTTCTTATCAAATACTATCATTCTATGTCACTTGTAATTTTATATAGTTAAATTTTATAAGTAAAAGTGATCTTTAAAAAAACCCAAATCAAATTGGGTCATATTGCTGATATAATTATTTAGCAAACCCAATAGGAATATAGGATATAAACCATATAAATAATAACTAATATCTTACTCATAAATCTTACAACTTATCATCTTCGTAAATAAATTGACATGCTATGAAGAAGAAAAAAATGGTGCATTTGAGAAAAAAAAATAAAAAAGCAAAGTCGTAAAAAATTCAACTTGTAATAGCATTCTAATCATACCACCATCATCGCTACCAATCTTGAGAACATAAATACTTTTTTTTTGTGCAATTGAGAAAGTAAATACTTTGGACATTATAGCATCAACTAGGAAATAAGAATTTTACAGTATGAAGAGTGGTTAGTTTGATAGAATAATTTATTAGTTATTATTAGTTTGTTAGAGGTTTTTTTTTTTTTTGAGAATTAGTTTGTTAGAGCTAATTGCTAGTTGTAATTAGCTCACAACATACAGAGCATATTGTATCGTTTATCAACCATACAAATTGATTTTCTATAGTTCTCTTGAGGTTTTTAATGATGTATAATCACAATACGTTGGTATTACTTATTTTTCCACAAATCTCATTTCTGATATAAAAAAAAGGGCAACTAATAGAATGCAGATGTAATTGAAAATTACCATATATACTTGGAATTCTTGTCTATACTCGTTCGATAAGTTGAAACGGGCCAATCAAATTCTGAATGGTTACTTTAAAAAGGCTGTCTGACGTGCTAAGCTGCACTTTTTGCTTCAAGTGGGTACAGATAGAGACCCAACATTAACAACACTGAAGCACACTAACTTTTTGATTCTAATCTATGTAGTCAAATGAACATTTTCCCCCCCTCCTTTTGGCTACCTTCTGTACAAATAAAATAGTGGCGCAAACATTTGCATATAAAATTACAATGCAGGTGGTAATCGATCCGATTGACTAGAATACCAAACATACAAAACCACCAATCAATTGAAGAAACTTTAGATGCCACTAGAGAAAAATAAGATGACTAACCCAATCACTATCCAAAGTTTAGCAATCCCCATCTTTCTTTTTATCAGTCTATCCCCCTTCTATGTAATACCTTGGCAAATGTTGGTGAAGGACTCGGATCAGCTATTCTACATGCGTTCCAAAACCAGCTGTTTGCACTAACTCAATTACTCTGGGAGCTTTGGTAAAATATATGCAAAAAAATCATTAAGCATCAGCCACATGTGACAGAAAAAATAGCTCCACTGTTGTTTAGGAATCCTTTTGGGTGCTTTCCTTGGCAGTGGATCGGGTAGCCTGGAACTGAATGGCATACCATTTCTGCAGCTCTCTAAGCCTTTCAAGCAGTTCCGGGAATGTTGGCCGGCAAGCTGGATCGCTGATAGGAATAGACAAATTTATAAGTTAGCAAAAGATGTTTGGTAACTCCACAACATGGTATCAATATCGATGAGTAAAACTACCAAAAGGAGGTAAAAAGATATATGGAATCGGGTGTAGATTAGATATAAAGAATGGCTTAAATACGTTTCGTCTCTTTACAATGAGTGCGTTTGTTTTCACTCCTCAAAACTGAAATAATATATATATATATATATATATATATATATATTATAAGAGATAA